GCTTAGCCGGATAACCGCTCACGCCTGGGCAAATGGCACGGGGAAGGGGTGAAAACCCACGTCTGTGGGTGCAGGGTGGTGTCCGTGGGGTTGGCAGGGCTGTTGGGGACATTTCTGGCAGCAGCCAGCTCTGGGCCCTGGGGCTGGAGGGATTTGGGGGGCTGTGGGGGCAATGCCCCATTCCCGGCACCCTGGGGTGTCCAAATGGCGAACCCCATGCCCTGCTGCAGCACTGGGGCTCTGGGAAAGCACCCGCCTCGCTCGGCAGCATCTCCTGCGCGGCCAAGGCAGCGTCGGCAGACAAAGCTGGCAAGCGCTGGCAGCAGGAGGAGGGGACGGGGCTGCTGGGAAACTCGGGCGCTTCTCCCTGCCCTGCTTTTCAAAGTGCTTTTCAATCCTGTTCTTTTTTCTTCTCCGCTTTCAAAAGCTGCTGAGAAGCAGTAAAAGGAACCAGCGACGGGTTCAGGAAGGGTCAGAGTGTTGCAGCCACCCGCTCCGCACTTCCGAGCCTCCCAGCACCCTGAGTTCGCTGCCATCTCCCCAGGGCCGGATCCAGCCCCGGGGCTCTGCGTGGCCCAAGCTGCTGTGGAGGAGAGGGGAGGGGGCCCGTCTCTCCCAGGCAGTTTTTCAAGTTGAGTGGGTGCCTGCTCTTCCCAGCCAGAGTTAGGCCAGCCCACGGGAGCCTTCCCCGGCGGCTTCCACCAGCCAGCTGATTTTAATCCCTCCTGACTGCGCTGTCTCAGCCAGCACCGTGCTCCTGTGACATCATCTGAGGCGAGCAGCGCCACACCGGCCTTCGATTAACACACGCTGGCCCCACGCGAGTGGGTAGAGCTGCCGGCAGGGGCTCTGGCAAACCCTCCTCCTCTTCCTCACCCACCGGCAAACCACCGTTGCATCCAGCGGTGGCTCCCAGGGGACCCCTGCTCAATTGTGGGCACGGGGCTTTGCCTCCTGCCTCAGTTTGCCCATATGGAAAGCAAGGAAAATAAAATTTGCCAAACAAAACGGCTATGAAAATGGCACTGGTGTGAGCCGAAGAAGCAGCACGGCCTGGGAAGCAGACTGCAGGCACAGGCGGAGGCAGGGTGGCGCTGGACACCTGGACTGCAGGCAGAGGCCATGCCGTGGGTGGTTTGGCCACAGTGCTCAGTCTGACAGAGCCTCTCCACCGAGCCAACCCCAGCATCTCTGCAGTGCCATGCTCGCCCCCGCTGCCCGCAGGAGCGACGGCTCTGTGGTTATGCCGCGAATGGCCTCTTGCCTTTCCCATGGATGGAAATGATAAGCCCGGCCCGCCCCCGCCCGCGCTGCTGCTGCAGCCACGGCCCCTGGGGTTGGTGCCGCCGAGCCCGGGGAACAGAGCTCCTTGCGCCGGTGACATGAAAAATCTTTGGCCCCCCGCAGCGTCATG